TTAAATCACGAAAATATATACATAATCCTGTCAAGTGATTTAAATGAAATACACAGTGATCAAGTGACATTTAATTCTCCACATGTTATGCTATAAAATTAAACTCGACATGTGGTCTATTTAATACACTCTAAGTATACTAGTGTCACTTTTAACGATTTTTACGATAAGGACAAATTGTAAACTTGAATAGTGCATTGGTCAATACTACAACCTTCTATCATAAGGTGCTAACCCTTATACATCGATTATGAATAAATAATCTATAATCAAAATATAAAATTGTGTCACATTGCGCTTGTCAACCAAGTATCCAACTTATTATCATAAGTGATTATAGGCACTTTAATTCGTGTGCTCAATAATAAATAAATGCAATAAATAAATAAAATCACAATTTCTTTATTATAAATTATTATATTATCATAGCAAAATATATTATATGAGCACACAACCAAACAAATCTCCCACTTGCCTTAGAGTATATGTGTCATGTTTTGCAACCTCATGTCCTGTAGGTATCCCTTGAAAACCTTAGTCGACAGGCTTTTAGTAAATGAGTCTAAAAGTTCATCCAGTAGCAACCTTATTGGTAACTATATTTTCTGTACCAACTATTTTTCTTAGTGGATAATATTTTCGTTCAATGTGTTTACTTCACTGATGGCCCTTGGTTATTTAACATTTGCTACAATCCCACTGTTATCTCAATACAGTGTAAAGAGCAGGCTGTGCAAATGTAGGCACCACCTCGATGTCCATTAGTATTTTTTGGTTATATAGCCAATTTAGTAGCTTAAATTCTTAGCATAAATAGTGGAATCAACAATGCATGATTGCTTGGTACTTTTCCAAATAATGTTCCCAGCATCAAATGTAAAAAACGATACTGATGTAGTCCTGCAATAATCTTCATTACTCTAAAAGTTTGAATCCTTTAAACTATCAAAAGAAGATCCGATGATGAGTATATTATTCTTCGTTCTTAGGAGTTACTAAAGGATATGCTGTATCACCATTCCATGTTTCGATCCTAAGGTTAAGTAGATCTCGACTCACCACACCAACATTATGAAAAATTTGAGGTCTATTGCATGGCATATCATTCATGAGATTACCAATTGCCAACGCATAAGTTATATTGCTCATGTACTCAATCTCTTTGGGAGTTTTAGGGGATTGGTCCTTAGATAATTGGATTCTGTTGGGTAATTGCCTCAAAAGTCAAAAGCTCGAAGACTTCTATTGCAAATAATAAAATGTAGTTATTGTATGGAAAACTTCTAATTAAAGTTGAGAGCAGAATCCTTGCAGAATTTGGTTTCCAATTTACAGTCGATTTTGGAGTCTTACACATGAAGGAATCTTGTTTGAGTTTAAATTAAACTCTTCTACTTGGTTATTGATCTTATAAATAGTAAATATATTCATTATTTTGGGTGTGGCCAGAGAGTTGATCTAAGAGGAAAATATTGTGAGCCTAGCATCTTGAGACTTTTCATACATTGGGTAGAAAAGTAAGTGTGGTAAAGCTCGAGTTATTTTTTTTATTCGAGGATTGAGTTGATGAGTGAAATTCTATATGATTGTAATATTTTTCATATAGTGAGAAGTTTTGACGGTTAGCTTAATTTGTGCGTTATATTCTTTATTTTTCTGTTTGCTAATATTTTTTTAAACAACAAAATATCCTAAGGATAAATATAAATAAAGAGAATTGGCGTAAAATTATCAACAAGTGGTATCAGAGCGTCAGGTGGTTCGGAGTATTGGAGCAACAGAAAAATATATCGTCGTTGAATTATGACGTGGGGAACGTTGAAGAGAAAATCAATTTCGGCTTGTAGCAAGTACAAGTTAAGAATTTATTGATTAAAGTTGGACTGCACAGAGCTTTGAAAGAAAACCCAACCAAGAGTTCTGGCAAGATTGACAACTCCTCCATGAGGAAGAAAGTAACTTGTTGGAATCGCGGTCAGACTAGCCACGTGAGGAAAAATTGTCCAAAATGTGATGTAAGGTTGGCTAACTGCTTTGGGTCGAACAAAGCGTCTCTCCTAGAGAAGGAAGATGTCATGCTGTAAAGAACAATGAGAACATCCTTATGGCATGTCGCTAGTTGCCATGATAGAGGATGTATTCTTACTGCTACGGATTGGCATATTTGCATATAGTATTGACTGACATTTGATGCAAGGTGTGTAGGCATGTGGTGGTGTTGTGATGTCGATAGCTGATGAGCTCTCTGGAAAAGTCAGTGGGAGAGTTACACCATAATTATCAGCAGAGTTGTTTCGACATATAGCCAATGGAATGCTCGGAGTTCACGAATAATTATGAGTAATTATACTCATATGGTGGAGTATGAGACCGTTAAGATGTGTCAAAGGCTTACCTATTTTTTCCAAGTATTGTGATTAAAAGTTGTAGAAGAGATGACAAGGTTTTGACTCGTTTTCGACAAGGTGGAGATTTTTGGGTAATTGCCTCAAAATCAAAAGCTGGAGGACTTCTATTACAAATAATAAAAGGTAGATTTTTGGGTAATTGTACGGAAGATTTCTAATTAAAGTTGAGAGCAAAATCCTTGTAGAATTTGATCTCCAATTTACAACCGATTTTGGAATCTTGTACATGAAGGAATCCTTGTTAAGTTAAAAAAGTCTTGTTTAAGTTTAAATTAAACTCTTATACTTGGTTATTGATCCTATAAATAGTGAATGTATTTCATTATTTTGGATGTGGCCATTAAGAGGAAAATATTGTGAGTTTAGTATATTGAGAATTTTTGTACATTGGGTAGAAACGTAGGTATGGTAAAGCTTGAGTTTATTTTTTTCATTGTATTACTTGGGGATTGGGTTGTTGAGTGAAATTTTATATGATTTTAATAATTTTTCATATAGTGAAAAGCTTTGACAGTCCATTTAATTTGTGCGTTATATTCTTTATTTTCATGTTAGTTAATATTCTTCTGAACAACAAAAGATCATGTGGGTAAATAGAAATAAAGGAATTGTCATAAAATTTCCAATAGATTCAATGCCTAAGGGCAGAATCTTGCATAGCACATCTGAAAAATATCTTGTCAATATATGAGACTTGGGCTCAAGATCAGTAACCTAGAATGTATCTAGCGTCACTAAGTCCTTCATATAAAATTGTTAGGCCAACCATGCTTTTGTAGATGATTACGCACCCACATTATTTCTAATGAGTAGAATATCATTTATATAAGCACTAGGAAAAGTTCAATTTTGTCTCATATATTATTATAGACACAGGGTTTATCAAATTTTTAATTACTTTATTGAATCCCTATTCCAAGATCTCAATATTTGCTTTGATCTATAAATAGATCACAACATCCACATAATCCATAACTTGCTTAAATAAATCGGATAATCAACTTGTACCATGGAGATCACTAGATTGGACTCTCCACTCAACAAGTATCTTGAAGGCGAACTAATAATTATCTGACTTAGTTTGAGAGGCAATTGATCTAGGACTTTGGTGTTATTTAGAAAGTAATTTTTTAACAATGCTAACATTACCATTAGATGATGCCATTATCTCCTCATTACCTTTAACGTTCTATTGATCTATTGGATCAGATGACAACTCATCTTTCCCATTTAAATCAAGTTGTCCAGGTATATTTGACACCAAAGTAAGTCTGTCCCAAGTTTCGTCTCAGGAATTGATAAGGTATAATTGTTCCACTCATTTCTTCCAACACGATCTTATTCTTGGACTGATGATCATTAATATACTTATCCTCTAAAAAGGTTGTATTTATGCTAACAAAGACCTTCTTATCTAGAGGACTATAAAAAATTATCCCTTGGTATCTTTAAGATATCCTACAAATAGGCAAATCTCTGACCTAAACTCAAACTTTTCTTTCTTCTCTTTCAGCACATGAGCTGGATCCCCAAATTTTGGATGTGATGTAAGCAAGACTTAAATTCATTCTAAAATTTTAGGAGAGTCATGAGAACAGACTTAGAAGGAACTAAGCTAAGAATATATCCGATTGTTTTCAATGTATACCCCAAAATGAGATAGGTAGGGTTGTGAAACTCTTCATTGACCTAATCATATATAACAATGTTGTGTTTCTTCTTTCTGAAACGCCATTTGTTGGGGATATACAAGATGTATTCAATTAGGAAACAATATCCTTGTCTATCAAGTTGTCACTGGATTCTCCAGAGAGGTATTCTACATCTCGATCAGATCGAAGTGTTTTAATACTCTTACCTAAATGTTTCTCAATCTTAGTCTTATATACTCTTTTGATTTCTTAAAAGTAGTTTGACTTTCAAGCCATTAGGTAAATGTATTTGATTCTAGAACAATCATCTGTAAAGAAATAATCATAGTTCACCTTCTCAAGTATATTCACAGGTCCACACATCAGAATGAACTAGTTCAAATACATCTTTGATCATATCTTTTTTTGTCAAAAGGATACCTTGGTCATATTGCCTTCCAAACAAAAATCACAAACTGACAGTGGTTCGATCTTAACCGAATTGAGAGTATAATCTCTAGTCAGTTTTGTATTATTTTAAGGTTGATTTGTCCAAGAGACCATAGATATCTATTACTAGTTCGGTGTGACATTTTATGGTTTACAAGAGTAACATTATCATTTCATATGTGGAATAATTTAAAATATAAAGACCATTAATCCAATGTTCAGCATAAACAAAAACTTTATTAATTAAAATGCTAAGCATATTAGACGCTGATTTTATAGAATAACCTTGTCCTATTAAATCGAAAAAAATGAAAACAAATTTTTGCTTCATTCACAAGACATAATAGCAGTATTTAAGAATCAAATGCCTACCACTATTGAAATAAAACAAAATATTCCTATGCTCTTGCCAAAACTATTGCTCTGTGTCTACGATCATTTTAAACTAACCTTTACTGAGTTTCCTATTTTCTAGTGGGTGCATTTGATCCGTCTCTCCCCAATGTCATTTTTTACTGCAATTTGAACATTTGTCTCAAGACTTTCCATCAACTTTCGATCTTTTATTGCTCTCATGCTTCTCGACAGCTTTCTTTCTTTTCTTTCCAAATCTACATTTAGACTTCGAACTAGAGGAGCCAACAAATGATACACGGATATTGCCATTGTGTCCTTATGATCACTTTCCACATTACAACGCTATCATTAACTCAACTGAGTTAATGATATCTTCATCTTGTGCAATAAATGGTCTATAATAGAATATGAAAAATTATCAGGTAAAGAATTCAATACTATATCAAATTGAGTCTCCTTGATAAATGGGTGCACCCAGACTCTCTGCCTTATTTGAAGTATGCGATGTTATGAGAAATACTCTGATTTTCAAGCCTTTTGTTGTAACATGTTTGATAACGAAGCCAAAATGAAATAACTAGCCATCTTGTCTGCAATCTCCCACTCAACATATTTAGCCTTTTGAACTTGTCACATGGTCTTAGTAGGTTCATCAGGACATCCTTCAAGTACGAAATTAAATTTTTTCACATTGAACGCAAACATCGAATTACTTATTCAATCCACATAATCTTTCCCATTCAGTTGGTTTTGTTTTAGGATAAATAAAAATGGGTCAAATGATATTTCGCATAAAAATGACCATTCATTTCATAGTAAATTGAGTATCGAAAAAATGATTTGGCATATAATGCATGATTGTACATGTAGATCTATCTAATTATATTAATGCAACAATTACTTGATCATTGTGATCCAACAGGCCCCTTCATAGAAAAAGGTCATTTTGTTGACTAATCAAGTTGGGACTGTCTCACCATACAAATCATAACTAATAGCAAATGTTTATATAAGTCTAGTATCGTTTTATTCGATCACCAAAGATCATAAACGAGAGCCTTTATAGGATGTTCGTAGATGATCTTAATAAGAGTGTAAAACCTTTGTCAAGATCTTTAGATACTTGAAAATAATTTCTTCATCCATAGGATTATCACAAATTATATTCTTATTAAAATGATCTTATCGAAAAGGAATCCAATCAAGCAACTTGAACTACGCAACCATTACATTACCCACACAATACAGGCGTGTTATTTTGCTCGTGGATTGACCAAAGAAGATCATGGATTTTTATTTAAATAAATACATGCTCTCATTCAATATTTTAAAGTAATATATTTTAGTTATAAATAATTACCAATTGTTCACATTAATCAAATTAATATACAGTATAATCATTACGAATTTACTTCCAAAAAGTTTAATCAAAATTACATATCAAAAAAATTTAAATAGTTATCAACTTTTCACATTAATCAAATTAACATACAATTTAATTATTACGGATTTTCCTTCCCAAAAAAATTAATCTACATTAAATTAATCAAGAAAAATTTAAATAATAATCAACTGTTCATATTAATCGAATTAACATACAACTTAATTATTGCAAATTTTCCATCCAAAAAATTTAATGTAAATTAAATTAATCAAAGATATTTTAAATAATTATCAACTGTTTACTTTAATCAAATTAACATACAATTTAATTATTACGAATTTTTCATCCAGAAAAATTTAAACTAAATTAAATTAATAAAAAAAATTGGTATTCAATGATTTACATCCTATCTATAATATCACGAGCGATGTTATAAACAAACATATATGTGATGATATTTAGAACGATAATATTTCAAAAAATAATTTAAAGCATTCATAAGAGATAAATTAACAATTATTTGTGGCCCAAAAAGATTCAAGAATTAAATTAAAAACTATTTGGACCTAAACCCAATATTCAATTTAAGTTGGGCAACTTACAAAAATACCCTTAAAATTGAGGGTCTTTTGAAAAATCATATGAAAAAGTTTTTAGAAGTAAAAAATACTATGAGATATTAAAAATTGTCATTGTATCTAACTTTTCAAAGTGACATTGTGTCACTTTTTTTTTAATTAAAAATTGTCACTTTTTAATTAAAAAAAAAGTGACACAATGTCACTTTGAAAAGTTAGATACAATGTCACTTTTCTTAAAAGGGATGTTTGTCACAAAAAAAGAAAAAAGAGAAAAAGTGATAGAAATCAAGAAGGTAACTGAAAAAAGTGACAAACACTGAAAAAAAGGATAAATTCTAAACAAGTGACATAAATTAAAAAATGTTGCACAGATTAAAAAAAAGTAACAGTAGATAAAAAAAAATAGTAAACACTCAAAAAGAAATAAAATTAAGAAAAAATGACAAACTCAAAAAATTGACAAAAATTAAAATAAAAAGTGAGGCAGATTAAAAAAAAAAAAAAAGAAGTGATAGAAAATAAATAAATAAAAAAGACAAACACTCAATGTCACCTTTTTATTAAAAAATGACACGCAATATAACTTTTAGTAAAAATTGATGTTTGTCACTAAAAAAATGATAGAAAATAACATCTAAAAGAAATTTTTATAAACAAATTAAAAGTTTAGTCAAAGATGTATTGTTCAATTAGAAATTGATTGTGTGTGACATTAAAAAAAAAAAAAAAAAAGTGGCACAACATGGTATGTCACTTTTTAATGAAAGTGTTATAAAATGCAAACTAGAAAAAAAAAATGTATGAACACCATCATTATTCATCAGATCTTGTTAATTCTATACAAATCATCGATCATTGAACAATACAATTTACAAATTTTCTTTGTCTCATCAAATATGTCTTCAATTCTACTTCTATCAACACATCACTTATGCCTCTATTTGACACTCAATCATTGTCTGTATCATAATTCTCATCATCTTTGTCCATCTCTCTTCCTATGGCATTAAATATGGAAGCAATTCAATAAAGTTCCCGAAATTTAAAAAGTGACAAAAACTCAAAAAGTGACGAATACTAAAAAAGTGACAAATAAGTCAAAACATTAGAAAAGATCCAACGAATGGTTGACTTTCTTTTATATATTCTCTTTTTGTAATTATATTTTACTTCTATTAATTAACATATTAGAAGATAAAGACTCAAAAAATTGACAGAAACTCCAAAAAGAACACTTCAAAAAATGGTTCATAATATTAAGCTGATTATGATTAATTTTTAAATTAAACTATGTTTCATTTGCAAATGGATATGACTTGAGGCAAGTGCCTAGACAAAGCAGCAATTCTTGGTGACAATGCAAATCCCACCCTATGGACAGTTTGTACAGTGACAAAAAGTCGAAGAAGCTAAGTTTCTTACAAAGAATGTTGCCAATCATTGCCAGCACAATACTACTAAACACTTGTATGGCACAAATCCAAACATTCTCAGTACAACAAGGCTCCCTAATGGAGAGAAGACTTGGCGTCTTCCAAGTTCCTTACCAGATGTGCTAAACTAACCTCACCCTTTCTCTCATCTTTCTCATCCTCTTCTAATTTCCACACTTTTTCTGAGTTCTAATTCAGCGATGATTTTAATGCTTTCCCTAATTTCGAAATTAAAAAAAAAAAGAAAAAAGAAAAAAGAAAAAAGAAAAAAGTTCACTTGAGAAAAAGCTCACCCAATTAAAATTTCATACTTTAAAGTCAACAGA